TTGCATTGAATATGTTAGTTTATTTAACTATAGAAAAATTGCAATGTGATACCAAACACCAAATAAATTCAAGATTTTTGTTTTGAAAAGAATTCAGTGTGTAGTGTCAGCTACGTGGTGGCAGGAGGACCTTTGCTTCAAGTTAGAGGAGGAAGCTCATTGCTTTCATGACTCCAAGATGTCATGTTGGAGTCTACATTGGAGGGGCTTAATCCTCTTTCTCTGTGAGATAAGCATGCTTTCCAACAAGTCATCTCCATGTTTTCCTCTTTGGATGTGCAGATACTAAAATATGACATTCTCACAAAGTCGTTCTTAAGATGGGGAGAGCAGCACTGCTGGCCGTCGGAACCCGTGTTTGTGCCTACACCAGATGCCAAAGAGGAGGATGACGGTAAGACCCGGGGAAGGGGAGCCCACCCACTGTACTCTGCCTGTGATCACATCCTCAGACAGAGACATCCTTTGGGGACAGTGGCCCTGCCCACATCACACAGCTGGGGGAGTCACGCTTTGAAACCCAGGTCTGTATGAATCCAAAACTGCAGGGTTAGGGAGTCCTCAAGACCACCCATACCTCTGACACCAACTACGAGTTTTGTGGTCCCCAAGACCACCCTTGGTTTCAATAGAAGGGATCACAGAACACACTGAAAACTGTTCCTCTCATGGTTATGGTTGATCTCAGCTAAAGGATGCAGATAAAAAGAGAAGAGGTGTTGGGGGCAATGTCCAGCAGAGTTCCATGCATGGAGCTTCAGTTGTTCTCTCTGGGAAAGTCATGGATGCCACCTTCTCCCGACAATACCCGTGGAGTATCACCGACCAAGGACACTTCCCGGAGCCTTGGTGTCAGAGCCTGTGGGGAGTTGGGGGGGGGGGGGGGTTGGCCACGTAACTGTGGTTGACCTTTAGTCTTCAGCCCTTCTGGAGGTCAAGCTGACTCTGGCTTAAAGCTTCCATTAAGTCCCTTTGTGAGGGTAGGTTATCTGGCTGGCCGCAGGTTAGCCATTACCTCCTGGCATTGAATTATTCACTACACAAAAGCCCACTTCCCAGTGAGCAGTACCACCCTTTCCCAGAGTAGAATCTTGGTTTTAAAATTCACTTTCATGGCAGGGTCAGAGTTCTTCATTATCTAAGCATGTAACTTTTGGGGGAAGGAGCACCTAGAAATGTGTGTTTGAGGCCCACCTTGCTTTTCTGGGTTTCCATATGACAGATGGTCCTTTTCCTCCTTGATTCTGACTTTGACCCAGAAATGCCCTGCCTACACCCATGAGGGTGCTAAGGATGGTAACAAGAACCTTGGGTGGGGCTGCCCCACAGAGCCTGCCAGCTGCTTCCCTCAGGTGAGAAGGGAGCGGTTTTCTACCTACTGATCATGCATGGCATGGCTCCAGGCTGGGGACTTCGTGTCACTGTCATCTCCGAGGTGGGGGGTTGTGGGTACCACCTCCTGCTGAGGCCGGCCTTCCGCTGGGCTTTGAGAGTGTGTGCCATGCATTTTCTCCATGGGCAGAGAGTAGCATTGTCTTCTCTTCACCACAGGAGAGGCTAAAAGAATGAAGCAACTTGCCCACGGTCACACGCCCAGCGCTTATAGAGATAGGATTTGAGACCAAGCCAATCTGACTTCAGTTATGCTCAACCACTCTGAAACCTGGGAGGCCCTGGGACAAAGCACAAATGTTAGCTGGAAGTTTATGTGCATTATTTTGTTTAACCCCCTGTTCCTTGAGAGTGAGTGCTTAGAAAGTTTCCATTGTACAGAGGGGGAAGCTGAGGCTGCCTTGAGGTGAATTGGGCTCATTCAAATGCCATTTGAGTGTAACTAGTCTGAATTTAGCCAAGTGACACATATTAGCCTAAATGCAGCATCGAAACCAATTCTCTATAGTCAGTTTCTAAACACTAGAGAAATAGCCATTTTGCAGCACATGCAGTAATTTACAAAGTGCTTTTATGATTCATCATGCAAGAGATCCTCTCAGCAAGCCTGTGAGGGGAGGGACATTATCCCACTCTACAATTGAGGAGACTGAGGTTCAGAGAGGTAAAGGGACTGGCCTAGCCAGGGCTGGAAGCAGGTCTCCTGACTCCCAGTTCCCTGATCTTTCTCTTCGGCTCACACAGAATATAAAATTCACTTTCCTTCTGTTTTGATAGATACTGACATTCATAGAGGACAGGGAAACATAGCTGAGAAGCTCGTCCCTCCAGCTGGAGGAGGTTCAAGGCTGCACTTTTACAAAGTGTCTCTTTTTGTTTCCCCAAAGGAATTCTCTTATCGGCCATTGTCTCCTCCGATCCCCAAAAGCTGCCTTTTCTGCTTATTCTGGATGCCAAAACTTTTGCAGAACTAGCTCGCGCATATGTTGATGTGGACATGCACCTGGATCTCCATGGGTTATTCATCCCGGACACAGACTGGGACCCAAGGAAGCAGGCCCCTTCCCAGGAAGTCCAGGACAGGGCTTCATCGCAGACAGGACAGGTGTGAGCGGCCCCATGGGTAGGCTCCCGGGGACACAGGTGTGATCCCTCTCTGGGTCCTTCCTTTCATTTGGTGCTTATTCTTTCGGTGTTTGCTTTGAGACAAAGGTTTGGAGATAGAGCTTATCAGTATCTTTCTTTCATTTCATTTTGGCCATAAAAACTTTGAGCATTGATCAAATATTTATTGATAGCTCTAGCACTTCTAAGAAAGCCCCTTTCTGCCCTGGCCAGTTTGGCTCAGTAGATAGAGCGTCGGCCCTTGGACTGAAGGGTCCCAGGTTTGATTCCAGTCAAGGGCATGTACCTCGGTTGCAGACTCCTCCTTGGCCCGGGCCCTGGTCGGTATGTGCAGGAGGCAACCAATCGAAGTGTTTCTCTCACATCGATATTTCTCTCTCTTTCCCTCTTTCTTCCATTCTCTCTAAAAATCAATGGAAAATATCCTTGGGTGAGGAAAAAGAAAGAAAGAAAGAAAGAAAGAAAGAAAGAAAGAAAGAAAGAAAGAAAGAAAGAAAGAAAGGAAGGAAGGAAGGAAGGAAGGAAGGAAGGAAGGAAGGAAGGAAGGAAGGAAGGAAGGAAGGAAGGAAGGAAGGAAGGAGAAAGAAAGAAAAGAAAGAAAGAGAGGGGGGGAGAGGGAGGGAGGGAGGGATGGAGGAAGAAAGAAAGAAAGAAAGAAAGAAAGGAAGAAAGAAAGAAAGAAAGAAAGAAAGAAAGAGAAAGAAGAAAGAAAGCTCTTTTCCTATAAAGACAATGACCATGAATCAGAAATTATGTTGTCATGTATTCATCGCTCTTAGAATGACAGAGAAGAGATAAACATTTATCTTTACTTCTTCCTCTGTCCCCTTCTCTCCCTTTCCTCCCTCCATTCTTTCCAGTGGGCTACATTGTATGTCTGGGAGTTCCAGCCTTCTCACCATGCCCTGTTAGTAAATTATGTGGCCAGGAAGGCATGTTGCTTTGTGGTCATTCTATGCAAGGCATGACATACTATAAAATAATAAAAACTTTAAAGTCTCTTCAGACCTTATTTTATTTTTACATGGCTTCCTTCCTCTGAAGTTCTTCTAAGGCAATAAAATACAGTGGCAGAACTAGATGGTTGGTAGTAAGCTTGATGGCTCATTGTAGAGCAAAGCTTCAACAGATGGGTGTGGGAATCGCCTTTTACAGGAGGGGGTTAAAGATCTGGACACTGATCCAACTGGCCATGGCTAAGGGCCCAGGATCCAGGATTGAGTCCCAGGCCAAGGCTGGCTTGAGGAGCACTTGCCTGATGCTGAGAACCAGGGCAGCAAGCCACACCCATGTGTATAGGAAAGAAGGTTCTCCAAGGTGAATGTGCTGTTAGGACAGATCAGGCATTTGGGGCAGAGGTGGAAGGAGCATGGTGGTGGGGATGTAGGAAACTAGGAGCAAGCCAAGCATGGTCCCATGGGATGTGCCTGGTGCCTGGTTTAGAGAACCAAAGGCAGGCTGGATAGTTCCCAGATACCTATGGCAGGGGGTCAGGGAGGCCTGGGATTCCACCCTTAGTGTTGCACCTGCCTACTCCCGAGTCTAGATTGCATTCAGTCACTGGAGGGGATTCATGACACGTCACAAGGATGGGATGGGATCTCCCATGACAGTGCATGAATACTCCAAGGGGGAGGGGGGAAGATGGTCTTGGCTTTTGCCCTGCAGCTACCCTGAAGCCATACTTAGTTTCTACTCAAATGTAGGCACCATCAGGTCAGGGACATTTTTTAAATTTAAACTTTTATTGGAATAATTATAGATTCATGTGCAATTTTAAGAAATGATAACAGGAGAATGCAGTGGTTCTCAATCTTCTGGCCCTTTAAATACAGTTCCTCATGTTGTGACCCAACCATAAAATTATTTTTGTTGCTACTTCATAAATGTAATGTTGCTACTGTTATGAATCGTAATGTAAATATCTGATATGCAGGACGGTCTTAGGCGACCCCTGTGAAAATGTCATTCGACTGCCAAAGGGGTCGTGACCCACAGGTTGAGAACCGCTGTTCTACATGAACTTTAAAGTTTCCCCCAATGGTAACATTTTAGTACAATATCACAACCAGACTATTGACATAGACCAATCCACAAATATTATTTGGATTTTCCCAGTTTTACCTGTGTGTGTCGGGGCGGGGGGGGGGGGGGGGGGGGGCGGGCAGTGTAGTGTGTGTGTGTGTGTGTGTGTGTGTGTGTGTGTGTGTGTAGTTCTATACAATTTTATCACATGTATAAATTCCTGTATCCAGGACTACAGTCAAGAAACTGAATAACAGTACATTGACACAAGGATGTCTCGGGTTGCTTGTCTATCACCACACCTACCTCTCTCCCATACCTCACCCCTGGCAACCACCATTTCTAAAATTTTATCATTTGAAAATGTTATGTAAATGGAATCACACAATATTGACCTTTAGGGATTGGCTGTTCTCACACAGCAGAATTCCTTGAAGATTCATCCAATTTGTTCCCTTGTTGGGTATGTTTTACTCACTACTTTATCCTCAGCATCTAGAACACTGCAGGCAGGTTCAGGTTCTCAATAAATATCTGTTGAATGAATGAATTCCCTCAACAAACAGATTCAACTCAATAATGTACCAACAAGAAATGGATATTTATTTTACTGAGGATCTCCTGGGAAGATGAGGAAGACAGTTCACATGGACCCCAATGACAACACACAAAATTCCCATGCAGGTTCCTGCCATCTGTGATCTCTAGCCTAGCTCTTCCCCTATTGGTCCCTCAGAACCTCTTCTGTCCTCCCATTTCATGCAAAGCTTACAGATCTCATAAAAAAAAAAAACCCGGACCCTAAAGATGACAGAATGAAGACCATCCCATCTTCCTCAGACTCTCCCCCAGAGGTCTCGGCACCTCCGGTCTTGCAGGGCACATCAGGAAATGCCATCTGTGGTGGCCGAAGAAAAGGGTGATTGATGTCCGTATTCAGGTGGCAGGAGTGGAAAAGGGTTGTGACAATGATAGTCACTCACCTACTCGTTATTCTACTTTAAATATTTGAGAAGAGGGCGGAATGAAAAAATGCTTCCCCACCTCCATTCTACTCAATTCCCATTGCCAAACAGCACCCAGACCTAATCATGAAAAGGGTGCAGTTCTGCGGGGAAGAAAAATATGTCCGTGGTGGTTTGTTTACCTTGTTTAAGATGAGAGGTGAAATACCAGACTGATGAGGAAGCTTGGCACAACAAATCCTTTTTTCTCAGTTTCAAAAGCACCAAAGGTCAGTTCCCATGATATCTGACTTTTCTTGTACCTTAATTCCATCGCACTTCATACACAGGCCAGGGTAACGAGCTCAAAATGCCGCAGGAGCTAAGACGCATGCGCCTTTCTTCAAAGCACCACAAGACAGTCCATCCTATCCTCGAGCCTTCCTTGTTATGCTCCAGGTGGGTGGAGTACGTGACCAGGAAGCTCTACAGGAAAAATCACTCAGCTGTTTATTGCTCTGGGAAAGCCACAACATTTCACAAGTGCTCTAAGATGGATTCCAGGCACACGGTAAGCTCTCAAGCATTTGCTGGCATACTCCCCCTTTCCTTCAAGGGTTTCTCTAAGTCAGTTCCAATTCAGGAACAAGCTGGATCTATATCCCCAGACAACTCAACTCGCGGAAAATCTAAGTGCATTCTAGCTACATCAGCAGTATTGGTTCGTGTTCATTTCTTCCCAACCAAAGTTACCAAGCATTGGGCTGACTCCATTAAGAAGGTTGCTTGTCCAGGTTAAAGACAAACACCTTTGATCACTTCTTAAGCTGTTTGAAGACTGTTTGGGTGGTTTTTAAATGAGAAGTCTTTCCCATGGCAAATCAGGACATGCAGACAGAAAAGTCATGGCCACCTTCCTCATTATCCAGCAATAAGTGTGAGACCATGGCCTCAACACCAACTTCCTTCTGGGGGTTCATTTAAAAATGTTTTAAAATTTATTGGGGTGACATTGGTTAACATTAGCATAGAGGTTTCAGGTGTGGGTTTCTATGTTATAAGATCTGTATATTGCACCCTGTGCCCACCACCCAAAGTCAAATCTTCTGTCACTATATATTAGGACTTCCTTCACCTCCCACCCCCTTCCCCCTGGCAACCACCACACTGCTGTTTCTGTTCACGAGTTTCCATTTTATATACCACATATGAGTGAAATCTTATGGTTCTTAGCTTTTTCTGACTGACTTATTTCACTTAGCGTAGTGTTTTCAAAGTCCATCCATGTTGTTGCAAATGGCGCTATTTCATCCTTTCTAATAGCTGAGTAGAATTCCATTGTGTATATGAACCACATCTTCCTCATCCAGTCCTCTATCACAGGACACGTTGGTTGTTTCCGTGTCTTGGTCACCATGAGAAATGCTGCAATAAACATAGGGGTGCATATATCTTTGTGACTATATGACTTCAAGGTTTTCGGGTATATACCCAGGAGAGGGATTGCGGGGTCGTATATTAGCTCTATTCTCAATATTTTGAGGAATCGCCAGACTGTTTTCCATAGTGGTTAGGGGAGCGGACTCATCAGCCAGGTGCAGATGCACACAGGCCTGGCTACGCCAGCTGCTGGGAAATGGTCTCTTGAGGTCAAGCACCAGCCAAGAAGCTGGAGATTTCCTCAGACAAAGATGAGCAGAGGGATATGTGGTGGCATTATGGGGCCCCAGCCAGCCTCTTCTCCTGGTGATCAGGAAAGGCTTCCTAGAAGTGGTTGGACGGAGCACCCAGCAAAGTCCTTGTAGGCTGAGGGTGCAGCTCAGGATGAGGATTTGCAGGTGGATGTGGGTTAACTGAAAGAAGCAGGTGGAGAGTGAATTTCCTAAGAAACAGCAGTGGAGTGAGAGAACTGGGGGATTTCCCTCCCTCTGGTTATTAAAGTCCTATATGGTCATTGTAGAACACCTGGATACATTAAGAAAAGGAAATGAAGGCCCTGGCTGGTGTCGCTCTGTTGTACCAAAAGGTCACCCGTTCGATTCCTGACAGTAGGGCTCCATCCCCAGTAGGGGGCATGCAGGAGGCAGCTGATCTGATGTTTCTTTCTCACATTGATATTTCTCTCTCTCTTAATCTCTACCTCCCTTCCTCTCTCTCTAAAGTCAATAAAAACATATTTTTAAAAAAGAAAAAAAGAAATGAGGAAGACACCACAAAAAGGAAACCCCTCAATCATTCTGGTGTGGGTATTTTTTCCCCAGTTAAAAATTGTTTTGTGTGCACAGTTTGCATATTAGCAATCACTTTCTAATCTACTCATCCGTTAATAACCTGTTGTCGTTTTTTTCACAACGAATGATTCACGCATTTTCCTAGGTCACTAAATTCTTCTAATGAGTATATATTACTTCATCTTTGGGACGTGACATGATGTGCACTACCCTGCTGCTGGACATTTAAGTTGGTGGTGGTTTTGGCTATTACAAGTCATGCCAGTTTAGTAATTCTGTGCCTGGGTTTCAAGAGCTCACCCCTCTCCCCAGCTCTGTGTTCAGGTGCTTGTTATTTTCTTTGGCTAGATTCCCAATTTAGGATTCCTGAGCCAAAGTTAGAAAAACAAGGTTTAGGGTGTTCTTTGAAAGGCCAATGGGTTTGGGTTGATTCATAGGAAACCGAGTAGCCATTCTAGAATCTGAGAGACTCAAATGATCAATGTGGCTGTAGGGCTGAGAAATCCTTATTTCTCAGAAACAGAAAAAAAGTGGGTATGAGTACATGCTAATATGACTTTAGTCCAAATCTCCCCTTCTTCCATTTCCTTATTCTTTCTTTTTTTTAAAAAAAAAATATATTTTATTATTGATTTTTTACAGAGAGGAAGGGAGAGAGATAGAGAGTTAGAAACATCGATGAGAGAGAAACATCGATCAGCTGCCTCCTGCACATCTCCCACTGGGGATGTGCCCGCAACCCAGGTACATGCCCTTGACCGGAATCGAACCTGGGACCTTTCAGTCCGCAGACCAACGCTCTATCCACTGAGCCAAACCGGTTTCGGCTCCTTATTCTTTCTTATTCTCTGTATCTTTCCACTCAGTACATATATTTGTTCTTTTCAGTCATATATTCATTTCATTCATTCATTCATTCATTCATTCATTCATTCATTCATTTCGTGTTGGCATGTAATGGTAAGCAAAACCAGTATCTCAACTGTCCTCAGGGAGCGAATGGCATAGTACAGGACACAGTACCAAGGAAACAAGCCAACACAATTCAGTGGGATGGGGATAAGAAAATGCTGTGGTGGGAGCCAGGGACAGCTGACATGTGAAGGATAGTACCAGGTAACTAGGTGATATGGGTGATCCCGATAAAGAAAGGGGTGGTGCCTGGATCTGGAATCAGGAGACAACATGGGAAACTTGAAAAAGGAGGACCACAGAAAAGACAAGTTCCAACCAGACCCCCAATTTATCTATTCTCAGGTGGCATGGAATTGGCATTAACTGAAGAGAAGTCTCCAGTGACTTCTTCAAGGATGGACAGTCATTTTTTAAAATAATACCTTTTTTTTGAGATCTAATTCACATACCATAAAAATCCACTCATTTAAAGTGTACAATTTAATGGTTTTAGTATATTTTAAATTGTGCAACTATTGCCACTAATTTTAGAACATTTTCATCACCTCCCAAAAGGAGCCCTGTACCCATTAGCAGTCACCCCTTATTCTGCACCCCTCTTCCCCAGTTCTAGGCAATCACAAACCTACTTTCTACTTTATATATAGATTTGCCTATTCTGGACATTTCATATACATTGAATCATACAATGTTTGGGTTCTTTGTGACTGGTTGCTTTCACTTAGCATAATGTTTTCAAATTTCTCTATGTTGTCACATGAACTAGTACTTCATTCCTTTTTTGGCTAAGTAACATTCCACTGTATGAACAGACCATATTTTGCTTATCCATTTGTCAGCTGGTAGATATTTGGGTTGTTTCCTCTTTGGGACTATCATGAATAAGGCCGCTGTGAACATTCATGTGTAAACTTTTTATGTGAACATATGTTTTTAGTTCTCTTTGAGTCTATTCCTAGGAGTGAAATTGCTGTGTCATATGATAACTCTATGTTTAACATTTTGAGAAACTCCCAAACTGGTTTTCAAAGTGGCTATACCATTTTACAATTCTACCAGCAAGGTATGAGAGTTTCAGTATGTCCACATCCTCCCTCATTGGTTATTGTCTGCTGTTTTTATTTTAGTCGTCCTAGATACAATGGAGTCTCACTGTGGTTTTGATTTGCATTTCCCTAATAACTAATGCTGTTGAACATCTCACATGTGTTTACTGGTCATTTGTACACTGTCTTGGGGAAATATCCACTCGAATCCTTTGCCATTTTTATTTTTATTTTTTAATGTATATTTTTATTGTTGACAGTATTACAGACATCCCCATTTCCCTTTCCTTTGCCCCCCTCCACCCAGCTCCTACCTCACCTAGGCTTTCACCACATTATTGTCTGTGTCCATGGGCTGTGCATGTAAGTAAGTTCTTTGGTTAATCTCTTAACCCTTTGCCATTTATAAACTGAGGTATTTGTCTTTCTATTGTTGAATTGTAAGAGTTCTGTATATATTGTGGATTTAAGTCCCTTATAAACATATGATCTGCAATATTTTCACCTATTCTGTATGTAGTCTTTTCACTTTCTTAATGGTGCCCTTGGACATTCACCAATTTTTAAAGTTTTATGAAGTCCAATTTATCTAATTTTTATCTTTTCTGCTTTTGGTGTCAAATCTAAGAAATGGTTGCTTAAGCTATAGTCCCAAAGATTTACTCCTATGTGTTCTTCTATTAATTTTATAGTTTTAGCACTTACATTTAGCACTATGATCCATTTCAAGTTAAATTTTATATACAGTACCAGGTAGGGGTCCTACTTCATTCTTTTGCATATGGATATCTTGTTGTCCCAGCATAAAAGTCACATTTTAGGGTTTATAAATCTTCCAGGAAGAGAAAAAAATGTAGCCCCTATTTCTCCATCATTCCCTAGAAGATGTTTCCTTCAACCAGTGAGAAACAACTCTGGGGCAGTCCTCTACTGGTCCCAGCAAAGCTTTGGTTCACAGACCTGGAGACCAAGATGAAATCCTCTGTCAGTGGTGGTTGCCATGGCTCTTTCTGCAATGGAGATTTAGAACTCTTCCTCATCTCCATCACAGGGTCCTGGTGGAGCACCAGGTAAGTCCAGCATATAAGTGCTCAAGTCAGACTCATACGCCCTGGTGGGATTTTCTAGAATTTTCTTTTTTAAAAAATATTTTTTTATTGATTTAAGAGAGGAAGGGAGAGGGAGAGAGAGATAGAAACATCAATGATGAGAGAGAATCATTGATTAGCTGCCTCCTGCCTGCCCCCAACTGGGGACCGAGCCCGCAACCCGGGCATATGCCCCCGACCTGGAATTGAACCAAGACCTCCTGGTTCACACAGATTGACACTCAACCACTGAGCCACGCCAGCTAGGCTAGAATTTTCTTTAAGTACATCCACTGTGTTCCAAGAGGATTAAAAGTGACCAATGTTCCTAGATCTCCTACTCTATTCCAGGTGTCTTTGGGAGAGGTAAAAGACATGGATGGGTTCCCTGGTTTCACCTTCAGTCTGACATTTGGGTTATGCAAACAAGAGGTTTAACCCTAGGTCAGGGTTCTCTAAATTACCATTATAATTAATGTCTACATCGTTGGTGCATTCTTCTCTATTTAAGGCCAGGAACTGAGCTTTCTTATAATAATAGCAATAATATGACAACAACTGATGTGTATTGACAATTCATGCTGTGCCAAACACTGTGCTTTAGCACTTCACATGGTGGTTCTCTTATGTTAGCTTCAGGTATACAATACAGTGATTAGACATATTTATAACCTACGAAGTAATCACCCCAATGAGTCTAGTACAAAGTTCAACTTCCTAACCATTTACTTTTATTGACTTAATCTTATTCACGTCATTTTAGGGGCTTGGTACAGTTCCTGGGACAAAGTGGGTGCTTAAGTTACATGACAGCACAATAGGTGAGAATGGGCTTTAGATTCACAGCCTGGGCTTTATCCTCTTTGTCCTCAGTTTCATCATCCATAAAATAGACATAGTACTTTTCTCTCATTCAAAGAGTTGTTGTGGAGCTTAAATGAAGAGTATCTGATACATAGTAGATGCTCAATACTACTTAATTTTTATTAACAAGCCTTAAAAGCAGTGAAGAGGTTGAATCTTGGCACCCAACCCTTACTGATCATATGACATTTGACCATTATTTAATCTCTCTGTGCCTGTGTTTTCTCATCTGTGAAATGGGGAGAATACTAAAAACCCACCTTATAGGGCTAAATTTGTTCTGAAAACCCATAGAAGAAGTGCCTGCCACATAGTCCCACCTCTGAGTTAGCTAAGATTATGTGGGCAATTCACGTAGAGGATGCTATTCATATAACCTTGAGTGAAGGATGTCACCCTCTCTTTGGGAAGAGCCTTACTCCTGGTGTGGTGAGAGAGGAAGGGGTTAGCTTCCCAGGCACCCAGAGTAGTACAATCCACCCAGGAGTCCAATGGCATCGGAGGTGACATGAGCAAATCAAGCCACAAACCTAGTCTAATTGGGCATGACCAGAAGACCCTCGGATGGTTAAAGAACAAGGTCTCTGAGTTACACAGCCTCGTGTAACAACCATCTCCTAGCACTGGTGTGCAAAGGGATTGTGCATATCCAGGGCACAGAACATGTGGTCAAGGATAGGACGTCACATGGCAGGGATTTTTGTCACTTTGGCGCATTACCAAATCCTTGTCTACAATAGCACTTGTAGTAATTTGCTTCAATAAATTTCCACAAATGTGGAGGCGTAAAGCAGCACAGGTTTATGCTTACAGTTCTGGAGGTCAGCAGTCCAAATGAGTTCTATGGGAATAACATGAAGGTGTCAGGAGGAGGCTCTGGGGGAGAGTCTGTTTGCTTGACTTTACCAGCTTCCTCATTCCTTGGCTGGCGGCTTCACATTACATCACATCACATCACATCACCCTTCTCCCCCTTCTTCCATAGTCACATCACTTTCTTCCCTTCTATAGTCAAGTCTCCCTCTGTTCCCTGCTTATAAGGCCCCTAATGCATACACTTAGGGCCTGCTGGAAAATCCTGGATAATATCCCTATCATAAAATCCTTAACTTGCCCTCATCGGTGTCCTCAGTTGGTTGAGCGTCGTCCCATGCACCAAGAGGTTGTCAGTTCAATTCCTGGTCAGGGCACATGCCTGGGTTGTGGGCTTGATCCTCAGTAGAGGGCATGCAGGAGGCAGCCAATCCATGGTGCTTTCTGATCCATGTTTCTCTCCCTCTCTCTCTATCTCAAATCAATAAAAACATTTTAAAATAAAAGAATTATTTTTTAAAAAATCCTTAACTTTATGACATCTGCAAAGTTCCTTTTGCCCTGAACGTGACATTCACAGGTTCCAGGAATTAGGACCTGTGTGTGTTTGGGGGCTGTTATTCAGCCTACCTCAAGCAGATCTTCATGCACCCAATACACACTTGTGAGTGAATGCCTGAATATTAGCCATTTAGTATTGTTATTGGCATCTTCTTGGCAGCCTCGTCTTCAAGCCTTGCCCAAACCTCACCCAAGTCTTACCTCAATGAAGATTTCCTGACCCTGTTGCAACTTCTTCCTCCATCACACGCCCCCCAATCCTTTTATCCTGATTGACTTCCTTTCTTCCCCCTCCCCACCAGCACTTTTTGCCTTCTGATGTACTATACAATTTATTTATTACACTTAGGGGTATTTGTTCATCTTCCTCACTAGGATATAGGCTCAACGATTATATGTGGGACAAGAATTTTCCTCTGTTTTAGTATCATGTATATCTTAGGGGTCTAGAACAGTGCCTGGCACATAGTAGCTGCTCAATACACAAGTGTTGAATGAGTATGTGAATGACCTTAACATGTTTCCTTCCAGCAGCGAGTCTGGTTCTTTATCTTTCACACCTGATCTTGGCTTACATGACAGTGAAGGCATTGCCCTTGGTGAAGCCAGTTGATTCTAGATAACTATGTGTTATCCTATTCACCAGTCTCCACCCTGTTCCATTAACACGCTGGCAATTTTCATCTCTAAAACACAGATGACCTCAATTTTGATTTCCACCAAAACTTTCCAAAAGCTGGTAGGGAAAAGGATGGCTTGGCTTTGGATATTCATTGAAAGATAAATTTTCCAGAATTGAGATGATTGCAGAGTTGGGAGTGTAGGCTGTCCCTGGCTGAAGTTGCTGAGGTTTGCTATGTTGGATGTACTGTTTCTACTCCTCTGCCTGGAGCTAATGAGTTTGTGGTTTCTGCAGTTGGTCAGGTCCAGGATGCCTGCTTTAGAGGGGTCTTGAGCACCTGAGGGGGCATAGTAGAGGGCCTTCAGGGTGCCCACAGGCTTCCTGAAGTTACATGTGAATTTATGTGTGTATGTATGTTAAGGAGATTCTAGTCCATAGCTTGTTTCAGTTTCTCAACAGGGAAAGTGAAGAACTTCTGCCCTGCCCCAGCTGTGTGGATTCTGGAATTTTATGGCCCATGACATGTAGTTCAATTAGCAGGCTGTACACAGCTCAGAAAGGACAGGAAGTAATTTAAAAGGCATGTCCTCTTCCCCTCATCCTCACCCCCTAACACGTCCCCAAGTTATTGTGTTAAAGATGCTGAACCAGGTGCAGTTTCAAGTTGACCAATCTCAGTTTTGGCAAGACTCTGGGCTTTTCTTGAGGCCTCATTTTTTTCTCAGAGGCAGAATTGAGATGGCTGTACTTTCTTTGATTTTTGTGTGGATACGAAAGTGTTTCAAGGGTACAAAATGCCATAGAATTGCAAAGTATTAATGACCAAGGGAATATGTGCCTTTTTTTTTTTTTTTTTTTGCTATGTGGCAACAGACTGACTTGTTCTCTACTCCACCCATCCGTCCATCCGTCCATCCATCCATCTGTCCCATGAACATTCATTTCTTCACAACATGCATAAAAGCTACTGTATTTATGACAAAAGCTTTATGTAAAACACTGATTTTCATAAGCCTCATAAAATCATGAATAAACTCATGTTCAGAGAGCTCAGACCACTTGCTCAAATTCACATAGCTGGAAAGTGATTGAAAACCTAATTCTGCCTGATTCCAACAGTCATGCTTATCACCCACCAAAACATTCCTCAAGACAGAGGAGAGGGAGCCACCTAGCCTAGGAGGAAGGCAGGGGGAAGGGTCTACCAAATATAGCACCTTGAAATTTGTTTTACCTAAAATGCATGCACATAACAGATGATATGTTATAGAACTGTGTAACATGCTCATATTTGCAAAGAATTCCCCAGCAATCTTTTTTTGAAAATATTTTTTATTGATTTCAGAGAGGAAAGGAGGAGAGATAGAAACATCAATGATGAGAGAGAATCATTGATAGGCTGCTTTCTGCATGCTCCACACTGGAGATCGAGCCTGCAACCTGGGCATGTGCCCTGACTGGGAATTGAACTGTGACTTCCTGATTCATCAGTTGATGCTCAACCACTGAGCCATGCCAGCCGAGCATCCCCCAGTAATCTTGAAGTACAAGTGATGCTTTGGGACGGGGGTGTACCCCAGTGTAGCTCTCTGCTACAATCCCTACCACATCCCCCATTTCCCGTATCAGATGTTTGTTGCTTATGTTTGAGTCTTATCTTCTGGGTTGGACCAGAAGCTCCTGGAGGGCAAGATCTGAATCTGCTTCCTCCTTTCTCCCTCCCAAGGCCTAGCCCAGTACCGAGCATGAAACAAGTAAACATGATTATTGAATTCCTGCCTAACCAAGTCAGGTGGCCTGGGAGACACAGACAAGTACGGTGGGGTCCCAGCTCTCAAGACATTTACAACTGGGCTGGAGAGGTCAAGGTTCCAGAATCTGCTTGAAAACAATCTTCCTAAGACTGCTGGTTGGGACTGTGATACAGCAATAGAGGAAATGGTCTGTAATTAGACAACAAAGTTTCATTAAATAGGGCAAATTTTGTGAAAAGTGACAACCTGTTCCTCTGGAAAGGTAGCATTGTATCAATTAAAGAGCACACCTTGAAGTCACAGAGTATAAATTATTGATGATGAAACCGCCATTTCCCAAGAGGGAAAAGTGGAAAGCACCTGCTCTAGATGCTATCTGTTTGCCGGGAGGGTCTCAGCCTCTGGTTGCTTGACCTTTGATGGTCACATTCGAGACTTAGCAGTGCAGATAAGCCCATGCTCCTTTTAACAAACTAGGGTAGGTTCTGGGTTTATTAGACTCCATTCTATTCATCAAATGTGAGCTCACTGTGATGTGATGGGATATGTAATTAGTAGCTCACAAACTTTGCAATGAAGCAGGGAGTCAAAATCCTGGTTCCTCAACAAATCAGCTGAGGGACATGGGACAGAGTTTCAGCTGTCTGAGCCTCAGTTTTTTAAACCATAGCCTGGAGATCCTAGTCCTTACCTTGTAAGTTGCTGTAAAGATTCATTGGGGTAACGGACATAAAGCTCCCTGCATAGAGAACTGCACTAGGACCTCCAAGGGGGGTACTAGTTCCAGTGGCAATTGTAGAAAAATTAAGGAAGTGATTTATAATCTAAGGAAAACACCTGTCTACTGAAAAGACCAATATATTAGCTGATAAATGTCATTTGTATGATGGTTAGAACTATTTTTATTGTTTTTTAAGCAAATAATTACTGAGCCCTTACTATGTGCTAGAGCAGCTAGCCACTGTGTTAAACAATTGCATCTGGATAATCTCATTTATTCTGCACAAAACTATCCATACCAGGATCCACAACCATTCCCACTGAAGAACATGAGACTTGGTTGGCAGTTTAGGTAACATGCCCAGGGTCACAGAGCTGGAAAGTGACAAGCGGGGTTCAAACCTACCAGTCTGGCTCCAGAGGTAGACTTCAAGGCACAAACAATGAGGCAGAAAGGAACCAGGGGAGGCTTCACAGAGGTGGTGCTGGAGCAGTGAGCAGATATTCAGACATCAGTGTCATGGGAGGAATCCAGGCAGAAGGAAAGCAGAGACAAAGAGCTGGCAGGATGAACAGCTCGCTCTGGTCAGGAGTTCAGGTGTCTGTGCAGAGGCTGTGGGATGGAGATGGAGGGGTCTAGAAGATGAGGGTCAGGAGTGAGGAGGGGCCAGATGGTGGGACACCTCATGTACCAAGCACAGGGACTACGACTTTTACTTGGAGGACATGGGGGCCAATGAAGGATGAGAAAGACAGGATCACTGGCATGTAGGAAATGTAATCTATCTGCCTGTGTTCAAAGAGAAAATGACTCTGGGCAGCACATCTGAATAATTAGGCCATCTCATATTTTCCAACTAAATTACTACTTTCTAGATGTTGTTTAAGTGCAAGTCTCACCCTTTCCCCTGCTGGCCAACAAGTGCCTTACATGTTGACTCTAATTGCTTTTGTTCTCCCACAATTGCCTGGTTTATGATAGGTGACTAAAAATTCTGTTAAATGAATAAGTGATTGATAGAATGAATGAATGAATGAATGAGCGAGTCTCTGAAAAACTGAATTTTGAGTTGTGTTTTTTTTTTAAAGAAATGCATGCATTTGAGGTGGATCATAGACCTAAATGTGAAAGAGAAAAGAAAAGCTTCTAGAAGAAAGCATAGGAGGATAGTATCATGATTGCAAAGATTTCCAAACAGAACTCACCATAAAAGAGAAGGCTGAGCCCTGGCCAGTGTGGCACAGTTGGTTGAGCTTAGTCCCATGCACCAAAAGGTCACTAGTTTGATTCCGGATCAGAGCACATGTCGGGTTGCAGGCTCGATCCCCAGTGGGGATGTGAAGGAGGCTCGCTGCTCCAGCACCACCTCTGTTTTTCTCTCTCTCCTTTCCTCAATCTCTCTAAAATCAAGAAAACATATTTTTAAAAAGAGAGGGTTGATAAATCAAACTTCATTAAAATTAAGAATGACTGTTCTATTAATTTGAAAGGATATATGCACCCCTATGTTCATTGGAGTGTTATTTACAACAGCCAAGATTTGGAAGCAGCCCAAGTGCCCATCAGTAGATAAGTATATTAAAAAAGCTGTGGTACATTTACACAGTGGAATACTTTTCGGCCATAAAAAAAAGACATCATGGATGGACCTGGACAGTATTATGCTAAGTGAAATAAGCCAGTCAGAGAAAAGCAAACACCATACGATTTCACTTATATGTGAAATCTAGTGAACAAGATAAACTAACAGACAAAATAGAAACAGACTCATAGATACAGAGAACAGATTGGCAGCTGTCAAAGGGAAAGGGGGTTAGGAGGTTGGGAGAAAAAGGTGAAGGGATTACGCACAAAACAAAACTCACAGATACAGACAACAGTATGGTGATTACCAGAGGAAAAGGGGCTGGGAGAGTAGAAGAGGGTAAAGCAAGAGACAAATGGTGATGGAAGGAGACTTGACCTGGAGTGATGAACACACAATACAATATACAGATGATGTGTTAATAGAATTGTAAAACTGAAACCTATATAATTTTATTTACCAATGTAACCCCAATAAATTCGATAAAAATTTTTTTTCAAAAAGAAAAAAAATAATGTCTTCATCAAAGACATCAGTAGGAGAGTGAAAAGGTGAGTCACAGATTGGGAGGAGAAATTTGTTTTTATATACATATATATATATATATATATATATATATATATATATATATATATATATAAAATAAAGAACTCCTCCTAAAAATCAAATTAAAATTCAATTTTTTAAAATGATGCAAAACTTGAACAAATACTTTTTAAAAAGTTATCCAAGTGGTCAAAAGCATATAAAATGGTGCTCAACATCATTATTCTCAGGGAAATTAAAACAAGATATCACTTCACACCCAGCAGAATGGTAATTAAAAGACTGACACCATCAATTACTTAAGGATGTGGAGCAACTGGACCTCTCACATGTGACCGGTGGGAGTATAATTTGACACAATCATTTTGGAACACTGTTTGGCAGGATTTGCTAAAGCTGAACATATGCTCACCCTATGATCCAGCAACTGAACCTGGGCACAGCTACAAGAGAAAAGAGCGCTATATCCACCTGATGACTTGTTTAAGGATGTTCATACAGCTTTATTATAACAGCCCCGAACTGGAAACAATCCAAATATCCATCAACAAAAAACGGATAAATTGTGGCATATTTGCACAATGGTATAGTCCCAGTAATAAAATGGAAGTATTTCAAAGACCCTGTATTGCGTGAGAAAAGCTAAATGCACAAGCAACAAAATGGAAGAATTTCAAAGATGTAGTATTGAGTGAGAAAAGCTAAAGAACAGTAAAAACTAATCAATAGCAATATTGTCAGAGCAGTGGTTTCCTTTGGGATGTATTGACTGGAAATGGACTTGAGGGAACCTTCTCAGTTACTGGAAATGGTTTTTTTATCTTGATCTGTGAATCACTTGGTGATTTCACAGGTGTATCCATATGGAACAGTTTACTGCATGATATATCTCAATAAAAATGTTTTTTAACAGATTTTTTAAAAAAAGAGCCCTGGCCAGTGTGGCCATCTGGTTGAGCATTGTCCCATGCACCAAAAGGTTGCTCGTTTGATTCCCAGTCAGGGCATATTCCCAGGTTTCGGGTTTGGTCCCCAGTTGGGCTGCTGACAGGAGGCAACTCACATCCATGTTTCTTTCTCTCCTTCTCGCTTCCTCTCTGTAAAATCACTAAAAAGCATTTAAAAATGTGAAAGTTAATTAGTTTCAAAACTTGCTGGCTAAAGAGGTCTAACATATTTCAGAAAATATCAGGTGAATTTAAATGTTAAAAAATAAAATTAAAGGCTGGAGCATGAAAGAAAAGGAGTCGAATGAGATGTCTAAAGGACTGGAGTAGGAAATTTAAATGTCAGATGGAGTTAGAAAATAAATTAAGTTCACCTAAAGCCTAGCATTAATGTCAGGGAGAAAGAAGAAGTGAGGCTGTCAACTCAGACCTGGAGAGGATGTAGCTGGTAGGGCCCTGACTGTAGAGGTGAAGAGACTAGATTTTTTACTTGAAAGTAAACTAGAAGCTGGGCAAGAATCGTGATTGATAATAAACATAACAACACTTAGCATTTATTGAGCACCTACTATGTGCCAGACCCTGTTGTCAGCACTACTCCTATCCTCTCATTTAAACCTCACAACCACTCTCTAGAAGTTATTATGATTATCCCAGTTGTACAGAGGAAGAGACTGAAGAAGGGGAATAACTTAATCAGAGTCTCCAAGGATAGAAGAAAGAGGGGAGAGGCAGTGAGGAAAACCAATGAATTAAAGAAACTCAAATGACTTCACAGACGTTTAAACAGATCTAAGTGTATTGGCTAGAATTTTAGGGGGAGGACAAAAATTCACTATCTTTTACATGCTTTTGGGTATATAAACAACATCCAACATCCAAATCAAATTTACAGAGTACAAGTGCAAAGTGGTGTACCTTTAGGAAGTGAAATAAAGTTTCTTGCACTGGACTTAGTTTGGAAGACATTATTAGGGCAACCTATGCCCAGGGCTGTTATATTGTAACCTTCTAAGGTTTGGAAGTTTCCTTTCAGGTCCTTTGAATCATTCTTGATAATTCATCTTCCTGTAAGATTGGAAATGTCAGGTTAGACAGCAAGGGATGAAAAGGTCCAGTAAGCTTTTTCTTTCTCCCTCACCTCCCTCTCTTCCTTCTCCCCCGCCCCTCCTCTCTTCCTCCCTACCTTTCTCCCTCTTTCTTCCTTCTTTTCAGTATATTTATTGAGTACATATTATATCCCATGCGCTGTTTTAAAGGCTGTGATAAACAAAATAGTTCCTGCCAGACCTCAGGAAACCTGTATTATAGTAGGAGACACACAATACATAAACATGTATAATATTAGGTAGTAATTAAATGCAATGAAGAAAAATGAACAGGTTAAGGGGAGGCATTATACAAGATAAGAGAAGGCCTTTCTGATGAGATGACATCTGAGCTCTGATCTAAGTAGAAGGAAAGAGCAAGCTATGAGAATGAGGAAAGAAACTTTTGGGCTGAGAAATCAGCTGATGAAAAGGCCCTGGGGTGGGCATATGCAAGGCCTATTCAAGGAAGAGCAAATTCGCCCTTTTGGTTAGTGCACACAGAGGAAGAGGAGTGTTAGGAAACAAGGTCACAGAGGAAGTACAAGGCCAGATCATATAGGATCTGTAAGGCATGGTAAGGACTTTGGATTTTTTTTCTAAGTTTGATGAGAAGCCATTGGAGGGTTTTGCACTGGAGAATGACAGATTAACTCGATCTGATTAAAGGGGTAAGAGGAGAATCAGGGAGAGCAGCTAGGAGGCTATTACAGGAGTCCAGGTGGAGTTAGCGTCTGGACCAGGGTGGTACTGGTGGAGGTTGTGAGACAAGGCAGGATTCAGGAGACAGTCTGTTGGAAGAGCTGCAGGGTTTGTTGGTGAATTGGATGAAAGGTGTGAGAGACAGAGGTCAAGATTGCCCTTAAGTTTCTGTCCTTTGGTGCTGCCATTTATTTGGAGAATGACTAGGTTCAAGTTTAATTCTGACATGCTAAGTTGCAGGTGTTTATTAGATATTCAACTGAAGATGTCAGGTAGGCTGTTAGCTGTACCAGCTTGGAGTTCAGTGGGGACTTACGGAAAACAACATCTTAAGTAATCCCTTATGGATAGAAAAATCTCAGTTCTCCTACCCATTCACATTTATTCATTTGGCAAGTACTTATTGAGCACCTAACTATGTGTCTGGCATTGTGCTGGGTGCTAAGGAGTATAGCATCGATTTTGACAGAAACAGTCACTACCTTCATTACAACTTCATTAGTTCACTGGTTTCTGAGACACTTCTCTGAATATTGTATAAATATACAGAAGCAACTAAAGAGTTATAAATACTGAGATGTTCTCTGACTCAGCAATTTGGAAGAGCTTAGATTTTTGGAAAGAAATGGGCTACATATAGATTTGGATAAATGGCAGATTTACCCAATAAAATATATGCAGACCGCCTTAAAATGAATCAGAAGAGACTGTCTCAACCAAATTAATGTTTACAAAGAGTCAAGTTGGTGTAATGGAAAAGCTTACAGAGCTGGGAGGCAGAAGCTCTGGGGCTGTCTGCTCCGCCCGACGAGGTCACATGTATGACCCTGACCAAGCTGTGTGCTCATCTTACTTAAGTTTTCTCTTCAATAAAATGAATCCACTGGATTTGATGACTTGTAAAGAGCTTTCAAACTATTCATTTTTTCCCTTTGTATTAGTTCTTTTACTGGATTCCCATTCCTCTTTTTTTTATTACAAAATAAAACCCCAGGGTGATTCTTCTCTTCTTTGGGGGATCATTTTTTCAAAGCAAAGCAAAACTGTTCTTTTCTTTTTGCAAGTGCAATTGTTTTCTTATTTTTTTCTGATTGTAAAAAATGATACATGATCAGAAAAGCACAGAGAGTAAAAAATCTCTACAATGATACCAATGAGGTAATTATGTTTTCACCATCATTGTATCTGCAATGTGTACCAGATAGCAGGTGCTTAATATCTGTTGAATGAGTGACTACTGTTAATATCTTGTGAGCATCCTTTAAACCAAAAACAAAACAAAACAAGTCCTATTTCTGGGGGTTGTTTAGCCTCTAAACCAGAAGGGGACAGTTATAGTCACCAGAGACTGAAACTGCTAGGATGATATCCGATCTCTTAGATTATCTGTTTCACAATAGCTGGTGTCTTACATCTATGGAATGTAGAGAGACAATAACAACAAATACACCATTCTGATGGCCATAAACAATATCAAAGCCAGCTCAGTTTGAGCAATATCAAGAAAGGCTGCAAAACAGTCCATTGCCCAACCAGGAGTGGCTCCTACAGCAGATGGAAGGGTAGGCTCTGCCCCTCCCCAAAATCCTTCTTCCTTTCCTACAGCACTAGGATGAGTTTTCTTGGGGCACTTGAGTTCAACTCAACAATGTCTATTGAGAGCTTAGCATCCTTTTGATTGTTAACTCCCTTCTCAGTAAACCAAGATGGGTTTCTGATTACCTCTGGGAATGAATTAAAACCAGATCCTGTCTGCAGACATATGCTGTATCTTTATTTCCCAAATGGAATTAGTGGCTAACGTTGGAAAAAACATCCAACATGTGAATCTGAATGTTCAGATCTCTTGAAAAATGGCTGGATTTGGCACCACTGGGCACGTGCAATCAGCCGAGGAGCATCCTCCCACTTGAGATGGGTGTGTGTCCTTCAGCTCCCTGTAATCCCACCTACCCCTATTGTGTTATATCCTGCCTCTCCTGCTCAATTACTCAACTTGCTACCTCTAACTAATTAAGTAAAAGAATGAGGGGGCACCAACTAAGCACTCTGGAGAAGCACACAAACCAACTTGTAAACCAGTTAATTACAGTGTGGTGAAGGCCATGCAGCACAGAACACATGAACATGGCATAGCATGGGGACTCTGCCATGAGAAGCGGGTTGGAGGGTCTCCGAAGGTCATTTTGAGCTGGGTTTTGAAGGATGAATGTGAGTTATTCAGGCAGGTGGGTTGGTGGGGAATACTGCAGTGAGGGTGGTATTGAAAGCAAATACAAGTTCTTCTGCTGTTGCATGGGTGACCCTCTGAAGCCAGCAACTACCTTGCACTTGAATGATGCTGGTCTGTCTACAATCCTCTAACCAGGCCCTCTCATTCCTTCCTTCTGTCAAAACATCAGAGAAGGTTCATCCTTACCAGGAAGGGCCTGCCTGACTAATCCCCACTCACCTCTTCAATTAAGGCAACACTCCCATTCCGGGATAACTGGTTACCTGAGGGTGATTCTGTTATTTGAGCTCTTTGTTTTGTTTTGGAACCTCTGACATTTGAAGAGTAGACTGGCATTCCAAGCAATGAATCAATAAGAATCCATCAAATGTCTACATGGTATAGAGAACTCTCTCTGTCCTGGGTATCATTTTGACCTTAAAAAGACAAATACACTAAAAATGTAGAATGTGATTCAGAAAACATTTATTAAGTGCCTGGTATTCACAGTTTTTTTAGATTCCTCCATCTACCTGCCCTAGCCCATGTGGCTCAGTTGGTTGGAGTGTTGTCTCGTGCACCAGAAGGTTGTGAGGTTGTGGATTCGATTCCAAGTCAGGGCACATACAGGAGGCAACCTACTGATGTCTCTCTTTCATATCGATGTCCTCTTTTCCTTCCTTCCTTCCTTCCTTCCTTCCCTCCTTCCTTCCTTCCTGCCTTCCTTCCTTCCTTCCTTCCTTCCTTCCTTCTTTCCTCCCTTCCTCGCTCTCTAAAATCAATTAAAAAATAGTAATCCCTCCATCCAACATTCACTGAGCACTACTAGGCACTGTACTTGGCACTTGGAAACAGACACACACTAAAATACACAAGCTAGCAGGTGAATGAATAAATAAACTCATTACAGTAAGTTTCCTGCCAAAGCAATGTTCGAAACACAGCAACAACTTGGGAGAACAGAGTGCTGATTGCTCCCTGGGATACTGGGCAGGTATCATGGTGAAGAAAGGCTTGAGTTGCTTGTTTTTTACAACATACTCAAACATAGAGACTAGTACAACAAACCTCCATGTACACCTAACCCGGCTTTAACAACCAATCACGCACAGCCACTTTTGATGCACCTGTACCCCCACCTGCTTCCCTCCATCCCTTCCTTTTGTTTTGAAGCTAATGCTAAACATTTTTGTCATTTCACCCATAAATACTGAGCTGTGTTTGAAGAAGGGACTGTACATTTCTGGATCTTTCACTGGTAACATCCTTCTTCTCATCTATCCTTTTGCCAGTGACTCCAGCGGAGTTATATACTCTGATTCCTACCAGCAACTGCAGAGCCTTGGCTGATTCAGGGTAAAGACCCAAGACTTTATCGGAGCCTTGGGCCGAAAGAAAAGGCTGAGCTGATCCCTTGAGAACCACATCCCGCCTTATCTGGAACGCGGGTCACATTCTTCTGGCCCTTGGTCCTCGTAAAATTGCAATTTCTTTAGAAGCTTACTGAGCACCTGTTTGCAGGAAATGGCGGCTACATTCCCCATTCCCACGGGCAAACCTCGGACAGAACAGGGCTCGCTCTAACAGCCAAGCGGACCCAGGGTGGCTTCCTGTCACAGATGATGTCTGGCCTCTCTCGCTTCCGCCCCTTCAGCGTTGCCTCTCTCTCTGAAAGGTCCCAACACCCTGGCAGTTTCTCAACCCAGAACATTATCCTGGACTCCCCTTCCCTCGCAATTCTGTCTACTCTTTGCAAACCATCCACTGTTGTGCACCGCCATCATCAGCCTTCCTTCTAGGCCACTGTTCCCTTCCCTCAAGTACTGCAATATAGAAGCACCATTCTGTCTCTGGAACACACGATCTCTCTCTCTCTCTCTCTCTCCATGCAGCCGCGGAGTGATCACCACCCGCTCAAAGCCCTTTCCCGGTTCCTAACACCTGCAGGAACCAAGACCAACTCCCTTCCCACGGCCAAGGAGGCCCTGCAGAACGCAAGACCTGCCGCTTCCGTCTCCAGCTTCCTCTGCTACCTCTCCTCCCTAGGCCGCGACCTCATCGCTCTTTTCAGAGCCTGTGTTCTCGCGTCTCGGCTCTTACTTGGGAAGCGGCTTTTCCCTCAAACAGAATGAGAACTACACCTACTGCGTCCTTGCTCACAGGCTAGTCCACAACACTAAGAAGTCATCGTCTTCAGGCTGCAGACGGAGAGGTGAGGATGGCACCGTGCCCGTGGCCACAGCTAGAGCGCAGGAGCCGAGACCCGGGGGTCCAGAGGCCACCGGCTCCACCACAGAGTCCCCGCCGGCCGCACAGCCTTCCGGCGCCGCAGCGATCCCTCCCGGCCGTGGACAGCCTCTGACGGCGCGGGGGCGGCACCCGAGGGCCCTACAGGAGAACGACGCTTCTGATTGGCTGCGACAGGCGAGAGGGCGGGGGCAAGAGCGTGGGGGCGTCGCGGAAAAATGACGTGATGCCGCGGCTCCTTAAAGGTACCGGCCCCTCGCACCGAGGATGGCGCAGGCGCGGTGCGAGGGCTCTCGCTTGTTCACGGATCACGGATACCCGGGCCGGACGGGCGCGGGCGCGCGGGCTGTGTAGACGGGAGCGCGCCGGACGCGGACAGCCCTAGGGGTCCGGCGAGGCGGCGTGGGGAGCAGGTCCGGCCGGCTGACTAGCGGGCGCCGCGATGGCCGAGGGTAGCGCCGTGTGCGACCCTCAGCACGCCGCGCGCCTGCTGCGAGCGCTCAGCTCTTTCCGCGAGGAGTCCCGCTTCTGCGACGCTCACCTGGTCCTCGACGGGGAGGAGATCCCGGTGCAGAAGAACATCCTGGCGGCGGCCAGCCCGTACATCAGGTGAGGAAGGGGCCGGGCGCGGCTGCGCTGCCCGAGCCCGGGGGCGGGGCGGGGCCGGCCGGGCGTGGCTCCCGAGTCCCCAGGCCAGCCGCCTGGGTCCCTCCCGGCAGACACCCCTGCTGGGCCCCGGGACAGCTCCGGTGTCCTCGCCCACCCTCAGGCAGGGCCCCACGGGACCCTCGCCCCCCCCTGTAGATGACCTCGGACCCGGGCCGCAGTCCCTCGGCCCTCCTCCGATTCCCACGGCCCAGCGCTCGCCCGGGCCTCCGAACCCCGCAGGCGCCCAGGGGCCGTCCCGGGCCGTCCCGGGACCCGGACCCGCGAGCAGAGCGGGGCCGCGCCCGCGAAGAGCCGCCCCTCGGCCGGGCCCAGCCCGCGGATCCCGGCTGAAGTTTGCCGGCGGCTCGCCTCCAAAGCGACGCGCAGCCGGCGGGGCCCGCGGCCGGCAGCGCCGCTCCCGCGCGGAGAAGCCAAACAAGCTCCACGCCGGGTGTGGGCTGAGCGAAAACCCTCTGGTCCTGGCTCTTCTCCTCGGCTTGGCGATCCGACCGCCAGGGCTGAAGTTCTGTCCAGTGTGTCTTTTCCGCTTCCTTGTGGGAACTCCGTTTAAAGGAAGGGCTGTCTGTGCGTTATAGACAGACGGGTCCAAGTAAGCTGTAGGGAATTTTTAGACGACTGCAGTTCTCAGGATGCGGTTACAGCTCGAGGACCAAGCGATTTTAGCGACTCAGAAAGCATTTTAAAACTTCAGTGAAACAAAGCTTAACCTGACTTGCCATTCCAACTAACCTGATTAAAGGTTGATGAGATAGTGATTAACCAAGTGTGTCAGATCTTGCGGGGGGGGGGGGGGGGTTACTTTCTTACAGCAACTTTCTTGCAAACTAGGTTGCTCTTTTAATAAAAGAGAAAAAAAATGCTAAAAGCTGGAGAAACTTCCCAATAAGCTGGTTAAATATAGACTAATAGTAGAGAACTCAATAGAATTGACAAGTCAGAAAAAGCAAAAGGATGCGTACGTACGGCATTCTTAGTGCTTTGCCTTAGCAGAACTCAGCATCCAAACTACATTTTAATCTTTGCATAAGGAGACATTCGTGCTAACTCACAAGCAGTTCAAATGCTCTTGTAACTTCTCAAGGCTCTTTTGTAAATCAGTTTTCACTCTGTGATTTTAAAGCTGGGTTGTGGTGGGAGTCTTCGTTAGTAGGGTGTTTAGATTGCCGATATGACAACTCATAGCTGGCATTTCAGAGGTTTGAGCAATCATTCTCAAATTGGAATCAGTGGCCAGAGTCTTCCCGGTATCCGAAGTGTTCCCTGTTTGGGGAAATGCTTAGTAGAACAACTCTAGATGCATTATTATTGTAGTTCTTTAAGTGGCATCCTGCCAGCTTAAAAGAAAATTGCAAATCCCCAAACACATGCTCTCTCTCCCCTTTTCATGTTTTCTTTTTCTCCATAGCACTTACCACTATAATATAACCTATATTTTACTCCTTTACCTTGTTGCTCTTTCCCAACCACAATGTAAGTTCAGTGAGGCCAGGGGTTTTTCTTTTGTTCATTACTGTGTCCCTGGCAGCCAGAAACAAGTGCCTAGTGGTTTAGCAAATGCGAAGGAGGGACTGCCTGCTTTTCTGCCACAGCCAATTGGACATTGGAAGGTTGGTCCTGTTACATTTCCACTTCAGATGCTCTGTTATCCCTGACTGAGAAGAGCATGGGAGCTGCTTTCTCCCTCCAGCTTTTACTCTTGCAGCTGTGCGTTGTTGTAGATGACTTGATCTTGGCTTCGGCTCACTAGTCTGATAAGTGAGGGATACAATGTGTCTTCATCTCATTTAATCTTCGATCCATCCTGTGAAGGAATATGTAATAATGCTTTGAACATGGCACAGGTCTGTACATAAGTCTATAAAAGGTGGTAGTATTCTCTGCTCTATCTGCTGAATTATGAAAGCTGGGGTATCCACTTGTGACATGGTGGCACACAATGAGAATATTTAGTTATGTGAAATTTATTTATTTAATACAGTAATTTAGGTAGGAAATATTACTAATCAAAGTAGAGGAGCCGGAAAGGACTTCAGATGTCCAGTTCAATTCTGTTACTTTCCACAACAAGAAAATGGGGCTCAGTGGGCATCAGTGACTTGTCTTACGATGAGGTTATTGGTGCTTAATGGTTGAACTAAAATTAGATGCCAAGCTAATGACACCATGTCTCCTACTCATTTACTGTACCAGCTTAGAGCATTACTTGTATTTACCTATTCTTTGTGTACACTCCACTACTTGCTGACATATACTGTGTTAGGATTTCAAGTGCTTATCAAGTACTTTCATATACTGCCTCATTTTGATTTTCTTTTTTCTTTTTATGAATTTTAGAAGACGTTTATGAAAGCTGGGGACAGTGAAACAAGGAAGGACTGGGGAAATGAGCCTACGCTGCTCTGCTTTGGCTCATTAAGTCAGAGAAAAAGGGCCTTGGGAACAGGTTCAGGGAGTTTGTCTGGGACAAATTGTTGCTGCCCATCATGGGGTCTCCGAGTTTAGGAGCTGCATGCCTGTGGGGGAAAAGGGGTGAGGGGCAGCGTGGGCGTGCTCTGGGGAGGAAGACCGCACCTTGATTTTTATTTTCAGCCATCTTGTGCTGTAGGTAGGGCAGGTGGATATTTTTGAGGTTTTGCAGATAAACATGAATCAGTCAATGTATGTGTGTGTTTCAGTGACTAATTGCTCGAAGTTTATTTGGCTATTGAAGTGGTAGAATGTTCTTGGGGGGTCTTTTAAAATTATTAATCTCAAGGCCACTTAAAAGTAATTTCACTAATCTGTATTACTTAGGAACAAAGTGTTTAGTAATTTTATGATATTAACCATATTGGTGCTGGCCCCGCCCCCGCTTGTACCCACTCACAGCACAGAGCAGTTGGGGCCGGCACCAACAGTGGGTGCAAGCGGAGCTGGTGCCATCAGCAGCAGCTGCCCCGATCGCCTCTCAGGAGCAGAAGGAAGTGGAGAAGCCCTCAGGGGAGATTGGGGCCAGCAGCCACTGTTCGCACCTGCTGACAGCACCAAGTGATCAGGACCCATGCCAGGCACCTACAGTGGGTGCAAGCGGGGCCAGTGCTGGCTGCTGACTCCGATTGCCTCTCAGAAGCAGGGAGAGGTGGAGAAGCCCTGAGGGGCGATTGGGGCTGGTAGCTGCCACTCATGCACCCGCTGATGGTGCTGAGTGATCAGGGCTGGCACCAGGCGCCAGCAGCAGGTGCAAGCAGTGGCTCCAGCGCAAGTAGAGGGTGCAAGCGGGGCCGGCGCCAGCACCAGGTGCGAGTGCCAGGCGGGACCGCAGCACGCGGGAGCAAAGAATTTCCAGTAACCACCAGAGGCTTGCCCGCCTTGGTCTGGGGACCCTGCTTACCTGCTCTACTATCCCGCCATGGTCGACGTCCGCCATGTTCCACGCTCTGCCACCTGCTGCCAACGTCCACCATGTTCCACGCATGCCCCCGGTGGTCAGCGCATGTCATAGTGATCGGTTGTTTGGTTCTGCCATTTGGTCTGTTTGCACATTAGTGTGTTATAGATATAGATATAGATATAGATATAGATATAGATATAGATATAGATATAGATATAGATATAGATATAGATATATAGAGATATAGTTAGGTCTGTTTTGTTTGAACAGAACTTTAAAGAATTATATTGAAACAAAATGAATTTGTATATTCCAGAATTTGATTTTCTTACTTTCCCTTTTGAAGCTTAAGCATTTAGGTCTGTGATGTCATTAATGTATGGATTGGGTTTTCAAAAGTTTGCTAGTCTCCAAAGTTTTATAAAAATCTGAGTTTTGTTTAAAGTCTATAGTTAGCCTAGTTTTAGTAACTGTCATAAGCTTCTGAAGGTATGGTTTGGAAACAATGTTGTATATTGCTTCTATATGCTCAACAAAAGGAACCAATCCAACTTTGTAAACTAGGAATTAAAGCAACTCATTTGCATACTTTCTACTTACTATAGAAAAGTCTTTTCACCTAACTTACTGGTTTAATCTTTTCCTGTGCTTTATCTTCAGTTTAACATTTGCTTTTCCTCTTGATCATCTTAACAATCAAACTGCACTAGAAAGGCTTTTCGGTATAAAAGGAAAAAAACAGAAAATTCAACTTTAGCAACAGAACCCAATTGATAACCTGAAAAAAGGTTGTGTAGAGTATGTCATATAGCCTTAGGATACAGATGCTATGGGAAGTCAGGCAGGACCTTGTGTAGTCCATCATGTAAGTGAGATGCTGTTTTCCCAACATACCCACTTCCCAGCTTTTCCTCATTCTGATCTCTGAATGACATTTTTCCTTTGATTTAATGGGAAAAATGAAATCTAAACGTAGCTGATGACCTTTAAGAATGACGAAGTTGATTCATGGACCTAACG